TACTCAATATGCAAAAATGCGAACACTGGTGGAGTTTGGGGGAAATAGACCTTGACATTTGGGAATTGTAATTGCTAGGATATATAGTTCACATATAATCAAAGAGCATTCAGAACCCCACCAAAAATAGAATTGGGCCAAACTTCCTACACAGAAGGGAAGTTTGAAGGGACTCCCTCCAGCCTCACACACTCTCCCTTGCCTGCACATGCGCACCATGCTGCCATGCGCCGAGCATGCCTGCTCTCCCGCCTCACTTTGGAGACTCAGAAACAGTCCTTGTCAATCACAGCAGAGGAGGACTTTTGTTGGGAGAATTTCCCATCTGTGTCCAAAAAGGAAGAGAAGGACAGGCGACTAGATGTTCAGCCTTCTCTGCCAAAGGGGTTCCTTAAGACCATAAGAAATATATATTTTCTGGGTATCTGGCGACCCCTCTGAAACCCTCTTGCAACCCCTCTAAGCAGGCCCATAACCAGGATTTTAATTCGGGGGGTGCTGAGTTTGATTTGGGGGGGGGGGAGGATCTACTTTAGCAAACCTTTTGTATTGTTAGCCCAATAGCCCCATGCATATGGGATATATTGAGCATGGTGATCAGATCATGATATGAATAAACATAACAGTTTAAATAATGTACCAGTAAGGCCTTCTCGCGGGCCACCCTGAGAATTGGGGGGGGGGGGCTGAAGCCCCCCAAGACACCCCCCCCCCCCCCCCCCCCCCCCCCCCCCCCGGCTACATGCCTGCCTCTAAGGATCCCGACCCCAAGGTTGAGAAACACTCATCTAGTTCATAGAATCCTAGAGTTGGAAGAGACCTCATGGGCCATCCAGTCCAACCCCTTGCCAAGAAGCAGGAGAATCGCATTCAAAGCACCCTCAACAGATGGCCATCCAACCTCTGTTTAAAAGCCTCCAAAGAAGGAGCCTCCACCACACTCCAGGACAGAGAGTTCCACTGCTGAACGGCTCTCACAGTCAGGAAATTCTTCCTAATGTTCCGATGTAATCTCCTTTCTTGTAGCAAGCAAAGTTTATTGAATGGTCTATTGACCGCATCAACAGTAAAAACAAAAACAGACACGTGCACAAACAGACAACAATCACCATCCCAAGACCCCACAACAGCGAACCAACACACATTAGGTTAAAAGATGACTAAAATTATTATCATTAAAATGTCAAGATAAAATTTCATACCACAAAAATAAAAAACGTCATTATTGTCCTTTCTTGTAGTTTGAAGCCATTGTTCCGCGTCCTAGTCTCCAGGGAAGCAGAAAACAAGCTTGCTCCCTCCTCCCTGTGGCTTCCTCTCATACATGGCTATCATGTCTCCTTTCAGCCTTCTCTTCTGCAGCTAAACATGCCCAGCTCTTTAAGCCGCTCCTCGTGGGACTTGTTCTCCAGACCCTTGATCATTTTAGTCACCCTCCTCTGGGCACATTCCAGCTTGTCAATATCTTCCTTCAATTGTGGTGCCCAGAATTGGACACAGTATTCCAGATGTGGTCTAACCAAGGCAGAATAGAGGAGTGGGATGAGTTCCCTGGATCTAGTTACTCCCAAACCCATCACGTTGCCCACATATTAAAGCAATATCCCTCTTCTGCCCTTTAATATCCCAGGAAAAAATCCCTTGTTCCCTTCATTCAGCTGTTAGAAAAGGTACTTTTGCTGTTTGGCTCACATTACAGCGCAACCGAGCTGGATAAGCTTGTGGGACTTGTTTGCAGGGCAATCTGGCCTAGAAATATTGGGCAAAGGCTGACGATTGGACACCCCAAAAACACCATAAGGCACAACATTGAAATCCCACAACAGAAAGCTGCATTTGTTTATTTATTAATAAGCCACAACCTATTTCTAGAGGAGAAGACCAAAGGGAAAGGCCTCATCTGCATCTATAAAAGTCACAAGAGTTTGGGGCAAATTAGATGTTTTTTTCCTTCTCATAGACTCCAGGATATGAAACCAGAGAGACGTTTGGTTGTTCCAGGCATCAAAACACCCACACACTCTTGTGTACCTTGGTGTGCAAACCTACTCTTCAATGAAACCCCAAATCTGCCACTGAGGCAGGCCTTATGGTCAGTGAAAGGGAAGCAGCCACACTACACATGCTCGGCGACCCCAATTCCCTTATGCACTGCAGGCAAGATTTCCCTTCTCTCCTCCAGGCCTAAGATTAAAGCGAAGGCACATAAGACACATTTTGCATCCTCTTGGTTTTCACACTGTGCTCAAATTCCTTTCCTTGTTGTCTTTCTACTTCCTTGCTTGGCTCTAAAGGGGAAGTCACACAAAGCGCACTGCACATGCCCAGAGGCCTTCTCTCTCCCTACTGGGAGTTTCTTCAGCGAGGCACAACACAAGGCTCAAATGGCCTTCCTTATTTTTATTTTTTTTTATATCTACAACAGTGAAGGTTTTCCCTCCTATGCATTGGAGAGAGGGTGAGCTTCTCCCTGTATCTGATACTGAATGATGCTCTGCACATGCACAGAAACCCTCCTTCTCTAGTTTCCCACAAATGCAAAACATGTGCTCATTTTATGTAGGATGTGGAGGATTTCCTTTGTTTTGCATATTGGGGTCCTTCTCCAATTACATACGGTTAGAATAGAGGGGAAAGGTCACATAGAGCACTCTGCACATGCCCAGAGGCCCTCTCCCCTTTATCTAAACTTAAGGAAGGGTATCACACAGAGCACTCTGCACATGCCCCAAGACCCTTCTACCCTTTATCTAAGGTTAAGGAGGGATGTCATACACAGCACTCTGCACATGCCCCAAGACCCTTTTACCCTTTACCTAAGTTTAAGGAGGGATGTCACATAGAGAATTCTGTACATGCCCCAAGACCCTTTTACCCCTTATCTAAGGTTAAGGAGGAATGTCACACAGGGCATTCTGCACATGCCCAGATACTCTCTTACCCTTTATCTAAGTTTAAGGAGGGATGTCACACAGAGCACTCTGCACATGTCCTAAGACTCTTTTACCCTTTATCTAAGATTAAGGAGGGGTATACCGTGGTTTTCCCAGAGAAGTACAAATTCCCTTGTACTTCAATGGGACATTTTCCTCCTCTGCATTTTGGAGTGAGGGGGGGTTGACCATACCAAACCACACTCTACACATGCACAGAGGTGTTATCCCTCTATCTTTCGCAAAGAAGCACAACCCTGAGACCAAAGGGCACTCAGCACATGCCTCAGAGACCCTCCCTCCTTCCCTAGTTTTCCCATAAAGGCCAAACACTGCGCTCATGCAGGGCATGGAGGATTTCCTTTGTTTTGCATATTTGGGTTCTTCTCCCATTATATAAGGTTAGAATGGAGGGGGAAAGTCACATAGAGCACTCTGCACACGCCCAGAGGCCCTATCCCCTGTACCTAAGGTTAAGGAGGGGTGTCACACAGAGTACTCTGCACATGCCCAGATGCCCTATTCCATTTATCTAAGGTTAAGGAGGGGTGTCACACAGAGTACTCTGCACATGCCCAGATGCCCTATTCCATTTATCTAAGGTTAAGGAGGGGTGTCACACAGAACACTCCGCACATGCCCAGAGACCCTCTTATCCCTGGTTTTCCCTGAAAAGTTCAAATTCCCTTGTACTTCAATGGAACATTTTCCTCCTCTGCATATTAGAGAACCTTTCAATTATACCAAAGTACACTCTGCACATGCCCAGAGACCCTCTTTCCCTTTATTTAAGGTTAAGGAGAGTGAGATGTCACACAGAGCACTCTGCACATGCCCAAAGATCCTCTTTCTCTTTATCTAAGGTTAAGGAGGGGTGTCACACAGAGCACTCTCCACATGCCCAGAGACCCTCTTTTCATTTACCTAAGGTTAAGGAGGGGTGTCACATAGAGCACTCTGCACATGCCCAGAGACCCTCTTTCCCTTTACCTAAGGTTAAGGAGGGGTGCCACACAGCACTCTGCACATGCCCAGAGACCCTCTTTTCGTTTACCTAAGGTTCAGGAGGGGTGCCACACAGCACATGCCGAGACCCTCTTTCCCTTTACCTAAGGTTAAGGAGGGGTGCCACACAGCACACTGCACATGCCCAGAGACCCTCCTCCCCTTTATCTAAGGTTAAGGAGGAGTGTAACATAGAGCACTCTGCACATGCTCAGAGGCCCTCTCCACTTTATCTAAGGTTAAGAAGGGGTGTAAAATAGAGCACTCTGCACATGCCTAGAGACCTTCCTCCCCTTTATCTAAGATTAAGAAGGGGTGTAACATAGAGCACTCTGCACATACCCAGAAACCCTCTCCCCTTTATCTAAGGTTAAGGAGGTTGTCACATAGCACTCTACCCATGCCCAGAGACCCTTTACACTTTATCTTAGGTTAAGGAGGGGTGTCACATAGAGCAGTCTGCACATGCCCAGAGGCCCTCTCCCCTTTATCTAAGGTTAAGGAGGTTGTCACAGAGCACTCCTCCCATGCCCAGAGACTCCCTTACCCTTTATCTAAGGTTAAGGAGGGGGTGTCACACAGAGCAGTCTGCACATGCCTAGAAGCCCTCTTCCCCTTTAAGGACAAGGAGGGGTGCCACAGAGCACTCTGCACATGCCCAGAGACCCTCTTTTCATTTACCTAAAGCTAAGAAGGGGTGTCACATAGAGCAGTCTGCACATGCCTAGAGACCCTCTTACCCTGGTTTTTAGGAGAACCTCACATTCCTTTGTGCTTTTAATGGAATATTGCCCTCCTCTGCATGTTGGGGGGGGGGGGGGCGACACTCTGCCCTTACCCTTTATCTAAGGTTGAGGAGGGGTGGCACACAGAGCACTCTGCACATGCCCAGAGGCGATCTCCCCCTAGCTTTTACAGAGAAGCACAACCAGCTCCCTTGCTCAGAGGATATCCCTCTTTCAGATACTGCGGAGCCTTTCCCCTTGCAACTGAGCCCAAAGGGGGGCACTCTGCACATGCCCAGAGGCCTTCCTCCCCCCCCCCCCTCTCTCCCTGTCTCACCGTCGATGTTCTCCCGGTCGCTGATGTGCTGGAGGTTGCAGCCGGTGTCCTCGCGGCTGAGCTCGGACCCCGCGGCGCCGTCCGCCCGGTAGGACTCGAGCCGGGCGTGGGCATTCCTCCGCAGCTTGGGGCTGGACGAGACGCAGCACGAGGCCGTGTTGCCCATGGCCGGAGGGGAGCCGGAGGGAAGGCAGGGAGAGGACGAGGAGGAGGAGGAGAGCTCAGCCCCGGCGGCGGGGAGCCATGGCCCGCCGCGGGAAGGAGGCAAGAAGCAGGCAAGGAGAAGGAAGAGGAGGGCGGCGGCGGCGGCGGCTTCTCCGCCCGCGGGAGAGGGCTCATGCTACTCCTTCGGAGGGCGGCGCCGCTGCAGCTCCATTCTGCCTGGACGCGGAGGCTGAGAGCCGGCCAGGCTCCCCTGCTTCTCCTCCTTCTTCTCCTCCTTCTCCTTCTTCCTTCTCCTGCCGGCTCCCGACGAGGAGGAGGAGGAAGAGGAGGAGAGGGCGGAGCCAGGCAAAGAGTCAGCCTGCAGAGAGAGAGAGAGAGAGAGTCCAGGCAGCCTCCTGCGAAAACGGTTCCGGTTCAAGGGGAGGGGACGCCGGGGGTGTGCTTGTGTGTTTCCCTCGTGCAATTGTTAGGGGTGCTTCCCTCTCGTGCAAGGGAAGCGCCTGCATTCTCCCCCCCCCCTCCCTTGCAACGTGTGTTTGTGTGTCTCTCCCTCTCCCGACAAATCTGCACTGGTGTTTGCATCTTGCAATGTCTACATCTGTCATTTCCCTCTCTTGCAATGTGTCTTTTTGTGCATGTTTCCCACTTGCAATACGTGTAGGTTTGCTAATCTTGGCTGTCTCTTGCAATGTGTCTTTCCTTCTCCAAGTCTGCACTGGTGTTTGCATCTTGCAGTGTCTACATCTGTCATTTTCCTCTCTTGCAATGTGTCTTTTTGTGCATGTTTCCCACTTGCAATGCGTGTAGGTTTGCTAATCTTGACTGTCTCTTGCAATGTGTCTTTCCTTCTCCAAGTCTGCACTGGTGTTTGCATCTTGCAGCGTGTACATCTGTCATTTTCCTCTCTTGCAGTGTGTCTTTTCGTGCATGTTTCCCACTTGCAATGCGTGTAGGTTTGCTAATCTTGACTATCTCTGTGTGTGTTTGTGTCTTTCCTTCTCCAACAAGTCTGCATTGGTGATTGTATTTGGCAATGTGTGCATATGTTATTTTCCTCTCTTGCAGTGTGTGTTCGTATGTCTTTCCCTCTCCGACAAATCGGCATTGGTGTTTGCATCTTGCAATGTGTACATATGCTATATTCCTCTCTTGTGTGTGTTTTTGTGCCTGCTTCCCACTTGCAATACATGTAGGTTTGCTAATCTTTGACTGTCTCTTGCAATGTGTGTTTGTGTCTTTCCTTTTCCAACAAGTATGCATTGGTCTTTGCATCTGGCAATGTGTACATATATCATTTTCCTCACTTGCAGTGTGTGCTTTTGTACATGTTTCCCACTTGCAGCGCTTCCTCGTGCAATTTTTAGGTGTACTTCCCTCTTGTGCAAGAAGTGCCTGCGTCCCCGTCCCCCCCTGCAATGTGTGTTTGTGTCTTTCCCTCTCCAACAAGTCTGCATTGGTCTTTGCCTCTTGCAACGTGTACATGTGTTATTTTCCTCTCTTGCAATGTGTCTTTTTGTCCATGTTTCCCACTTGAAGTGTGTGCGGGTTTGGTAATCTTGACAGTCTCTTGCAATGTGTTTTTGTGTCTTTACTTCTCCAAGAAGTCTGCATTGGTCTTTACGTCTTGCAACGTGTGCATAAGTTATTTCTCTCTCTTGCAATGTGTGCTTTTGTGCCTGTTTTTTCCTCTCTTGCAATGTGTATTTTTGTGCATGTTTCCCACTTGCAATGTGTGTGTCTTTCCCCCTTATGTGTGCATATGTGCATAATGTGTTCATATATGTTTACCTCTCTTGCATTGCATTTGTGTTCTCCACTTGCAACATATGTGGGTTTGGTAATCTTGACTGTCTCTTGCAATGTTGGTGTGTCTCCATCTCTTACTGTGTGCATATGTGTTGCCATGTCTATGTCATTTTCCTCTCTTGCAATGTGTGTAAATGTGCATGTTTCCTACTTGGAATGTCTGCGTCTTTCCCCCTTTTAATGTGTGCATATGTGTTTCCCTCTCTTGCAGTGTTGGTGTATTTCCCACAATGTTGGTGTATTTCCCACAAATAAAGTTTAAAAACTTGGCATTATGCTAGATTTCCTTTGACCAGAAGCTGGCCACTTGGAGTGCTTCTGGTGTCGCTGTGAGAAGTCCTCCTTGGTGCATGTGGCAGGGCTCATGTCACATTGTAGCAGGTGGTCTGTGGTTTGCTCTTCTCCACACTCGCATGTTGTGGACTCCACTTCGTAGCCCCATTTTTTAAGATGGGCTCTGCATCTCGTGGTACCAGAGCACAGTCTTCTGTGTGTCCAGGAGGGAGTTTCTCATCTGATATCAGCCACTGATTGAGGTTCCAGGTTTTAGCCTGCCACTTTTGGACTCTTGCTTGCTGAGGTGTTCCTGTGAGTGCAGATATTAGGAAGCTGTTTCTTGATTTAAGTAATTGGCTTGCTGGCAGATATCCGAACAGAGGGTGGACAAAAATGTTAATGCCTTGGTCCTTTCATTGCTGGCTGCTACTTCCCGGCAGATATCATTGTAATGCATATCAGTCCATCACTTGGGGTACATCTACACTGACAAATTAATGGGCACCAACGTACCTGAATCAGCTGGAGCTTATGCTCCTGCTGATACCACGTCAACTGTTCTTATTTGCTGCTACTCCATACAGATGGCATGTAGAAATGTCAACACAGATGGCAGGAAGTGGAAAGACATCTTTTTGTCATTTAGTCTTGTACCTTCTGTGGGAGGCAATTCAAAAATCCAGATTTTGGCCAGAGTCTTCATGATGTTGTAAAGCTTCTCTTTGTTGGCCAGTTGGTAATTAGCTTTCTGAAGCTGGTTTCCTTATTTTTACATTAATATTAAAAGGTAATGGTTTCCCCTTGACATTTATTTATTTATTTATCGTGTCAGGAGCAAGCCAAACAGTTGTATTACATTTTTAAACAAACAAACAAAACACAAAGTTTGCAAGCTTGGTAGTTGATTAAATATCCTTTGAACAGTAGCTGGCCAGTGGAGTGCCTCTGGTGTTGCTGCAAGAAGGTCCTCCATTGTGCATGTGGCAGGGCTCAGGTTGCATTGCAGCAAGTGGTCTATAGTTTGCTCTTCTCCACACTCGCATGTCGTGGATTCCACTTTGTGGCCCCATTTCTTAAGGTTGGCTCTGCATCTCGTGGTACCAGAGCGCAGTCTGTTCAGCGCCTTCCTAGTCGCCCAGTTTTCTGTGTTTTCCCTTGACATTAAGTCTAGTCGTGTCCAACTCAGAGGGGGGCTGCTCATCAACATTTCTAAGCCAAAGAGCGTTGTCTGTAAAAACCTTCTAGGTCATATGGCCGGCATGACTGCTAGGAGCGGCATTACCCTCCCACCAGAGCAGTACCTGTTGATCTACTCACATTTGTATGTTTTCGAACTGTTAGGTTGGTTAGGGCTAATAGTGGGAGCTCACCCTGTTCTCTGGATTTAAACCGTCGACCTTTCAGTCAGCAAGTTCAGCAGCTCAGTGCTTTAACCCACAGTTTTATTGAAGCATCCTGCAAATGTCTAAAATCAGCCTGTCAGGAAATGAATCTTCATCAAACAGGTTAATTCAAAAGGGCATTCAATGAAAAGGAAGATGAGGTGTCACCTTAAAGTGCCGACTGAAGCAAATGTCAAACCTTTCTGCCGCTTAAGAGCTGGCTCAAATAAATCCTGGAATTAAATGTCTTCTCCTATAGCAATCTTTAATTAAGGCTGGCCAAATAAAAATATGAGGTGCTTCTGTCATAACCCTCAGTGTGCAATCCTCACTGTACCATTGTTGGATTGCATAAAGCGTTGCTGAATGGAGACGTTGTTGGTGTATTTCGCTCAGTCAGAGACCACTGACTGGAAAGCGCTGCTTACATGCATGAGCTTCCCTATTCTCTGGGGAGCTTTCTGTCAAAAATCAGAAGCTTCATAAAAATCCAGAAGCTGTATGATGTGACTCGCACACAGAATGCACATGAATGCAACTGGGAATTCTTTCGAGGCTGAATATATTCTTCCCTACTCCCAACTGGAATACATCATGAATGTTTTCAAAGAGTATATTTCATAGCATTCTCCATAGCAAGCATGGTCATTGAACATGCTGGCTAAGATATGTTAGTATTTGTGGTGGTGTTTTTGCATGATTTCAAGTCTTACAGCGAATCTATAAGGCTGAGAGAGTGTGACTTACCCAAGATCCCATGTGTGGAAAATCAAACCCTGTTCTCCAGAGTTGTAATCCAATGCTCTAACCTAAAACGTCATTGGAAGGAGGGCTTTTGGTGGCTCCTTCGCTCTGTGGTTTAAAGCTGTTTGTGGAAGTCGGAGCCTGTCTGTGGAAGTGGGCACCCCAGCCACATACACACATACATATTTTCACTTATCATAGAATCAAAGAGTTGGAAGAGACCTCATGGGCCATCCAGTCCAACCCCCTGCCAAGAAGCAGGAATATTGCATTCAAATCACCCCTGACAGATGGCCATCCAGCCTCTGTTTAAAAGCTTCTAAAGAAGGAGCCTCCACCACACTCCGGGGCAGAGAGTTCCACTGCTGAATGACTCTCACAGTCAGGAAGTTCTTCCTCGTGTTCAGATGGAATCTCCTCTCTTGTAGTTTGAAGCCATTGTTCCGTGTCCTAGTCTCCAAGGAAGCAGAAAACAAGCTTGCTCCCTCCTCCCTGTGGCTTCCTCTCAGATATTTATACATGGATGATGAGACTGGATCTTTATTTTAACTATTTATACATGGCTATCATATCTCCTCTCAGCCTTCTCTTCTTCAGGCTAAACATGCCCAGCTCCTTAAGCCGCTCCTCATAGGGCTTGTTCTCCAGACCCTTGATCATTTTAGTCGCCCTCCTCTACTTCTATAGATTATGTCTTGATTTCTTTCTACCAGTTGCTTGAGAGTTTTGGTTGCTTGATGTCTGATTAAGTGAAAGCCTACTGTAGTTGGTAAACTGTAGTTCCAAATTTTGTGGTTTGTTTAAAATGCAATACTGTTTGGTTTGCTCCTGACACGATAAATAAAATAATACTCAAAATCAGCAGCCTGCCTCTTTGCATGAAGGCAAAGCCTTGTCAAATACATTAGGATACCAGCAGTGAAATGGCTGAGTATTTTGAGGAA